TTTTTTTTTTTTTTTTTTTTTTGTGGATAAGCCACGAACAACTATAATACAGTTGATGTAACAGGGATTTGCACAATTTGAGCAATTTAAATCGTTGATTAAATGAGGTAATTGATTTGATAGTATTGTGAGCATGTCATTCGAAATTAGATGTTTCATATTAAGCAGTGCTGCGATTAATTCAAGAACAAGTTCGTATTTGTGAGGGAAGGTAGACCGTATAAGTGTAACGAATTAATTTGTATTTTCTATCAATTTTCCATATTAAGTCTTAGGAAATAGCACGTAAAAAAATTCTTGTAACTAGCTGCTTTTGCAAAACGACTACTGCTCTGCAAATGTATGGCTTATCATTAACTGCTCTTGATTTTTTTCCACTTTGTTTTAAACTTGTCATATGCATTACTTACTGCCATTAATCATAATTTCCTAAGATTTATGTATGTCCCTTCTTGAATTTAGTAGCAAATTAAATTTGTCAAGAATCAAATTTATTTTGGAGAAAAGCGAAACAGAATAAGTAATTGATGAGAAAACTTATGCTAATATATAGAGTCGATATCATTTTTAACCTATTTCTGCAACGACAATAAAGGATACAAGGAAATATTGTAAAATTTTCATTGCACTACAATTTCGAAAAGTTGCAGAATTGTTTTTTTGATTGCAAATTTAATATTCAATAGAATAACTATAGTTTTGCATTCACAGCGTCATACAGATAAAACTTTTTTGTAGAAACAGATGCTGAACTTGATAAGATTGTGGAATAATTTAGAGAGCAAATAAATCTGTCTGTAAATTCACATGCACATTCTTGAATTTATTCCTTTGGTTTTGTTATTACCTTACCAACGTGTGTAGTATTTCATGGACATAGTTTAGAAGGAAAAAGTGACTGAAATGTTAGAAAATATATGGGATATCATTTGCGCTGAATTCGAGCTCTTAGATTGAAAAGCAACGCACTTCCAGTGATGAAGTTCCTTAGTAGTTCTGCTGTCTCTTTAAACAGTTCTACTCTTTTCAAGGAAAATCATAACCTGATCATTGCTGCATAAATGACCAGTTTGAATAATGTATAAGTAATTCGTTACAAAGAACATGTTATCTATATCTATGTAAAATTGTTGAGATGATGGGGTCAAGCATTTTGATATAGATAGACCTGTGAAGAATGTTTTCGACAAAGCGAAGCAATATATACCGCTATTCCCAAGCAGTATTGAGTTTAGACAATAATTATGGTATGAGCAACATCCATTTTCTCTTTTACCAATTAATTGTGAAGTGATATTGTTTTTCTTGATATTTGCGAGTTCATTCAAGTACTAGTATGGAATAATTGTGAAACAAAAATATAATAAAGACATACATAGTGATAGCGTATGTCTATAGTATAATTAATTATGCTGGTTTTTGCAGTAATTATACTGGTAGTTGAAGTCTATTGCACTTCCGCATCCGCGCAATATGCTCGTTATGATTACAAGGAAGCAAATATCGATTTGCAGCTTTTCAACAATAAAGTAAAGATGCAGTGATGCGAACGAATCAAAAAATGTAATGTGTGCAATCGATGACTACGACAGAAACAATTGTTGGTAGTGAAGTTTGAGAGAAGATAATAAATTTCAAGGACAACCTAGAAGATACTGACCAATTCTTAAATAATACAGATATTTCCATCAATATGGTAACCGAGGTGAAGGAATGTGATTCCAAAAAACTACTAACTTGGTCGAAGATATTAACGATAATGTATGGTCTTTCAAGCAAACTTTGGAAAGCAGCTGAACGGAATGAACAAGAAAGAAGCACTGGTTATAAAGACGCAAAATAGATCTATGACATTTGTTAGTGCCTTCTGCCTTTGTATTTGTTTACTTTTAATCCTCTTCCATTGTATCTCATCACTGCACAATATCATGAGTAAATACATCTGTACGCAGATTGTGAAGTGTTTATAAGGGAAGGAGTAGTTATTCATGTAGTAAATATGGAATGATGAGTAGTAAAGTAAAGATGTAAGTAGTAAGTAAAAGGACGGGTCTCCAGGCAATTGGACCTAAAAAAGTAGGCCTTGACTGAAGCAAGCTTAAGAGCATTGATTAGTGTAGACAGAGCTCAAATAAGCCTAGAAATATGCCTTAAGCCTATGCTGTCGCTTACTTATAGTGTCATGCTGAATAGATAAGTGGTATTAGTAACTACTGTGATAAAATTGGTACTAATATTAGTAGTAGAAGTAGGAAACTGCAATTACTAATATCGTGAAACCAAGATCTTTGGAGTAAAAAGTTAAAGAACGTTCTGCTTGCTATCTCATTATTCACCTTCCATTCTGATATATCGCATATCTATTATATAATTTCACCGAATTATCATTTCGTAAGTCTTTTCTAACCCTACTGCATCATTTCTAATACTGATAAGTGGATCATATTTCGATGACTTCGGAACTCTCAAAATCTGCTACCTTCCATAATTTTTGTGATGAAAATGACGTGCTTTCGCCACTTCCATCGCAAATATCTACACCAAATACGTTTTCATCATGGATTCAATTTTCTCTTTTACGTAAATGGCGTTCTTCCGTGAGACGTCATACTGTGATAAGATCATCTATTTCGCTCTGTAAGTATTTTCATCTATTTTGATGCTTGTCGGAAGACAGCGGACTACAACTTCCACTACCATTGTTTTAATTAACTAGCTTATATCATCACCACTCATCTGTCTCCTACCACCACAACAATTCCTACCACTCTCGACCAACTCACAAAACTATGGAAGTCAATATAATTTGTCAGACCTTGGTTTTCTGCGCAGCACAGAATTGCGAGTCATCATGTGCAACCTTTTTTGTCTCACTATGCAAAAAATGAAATTAATTTTATTTAATCTGTTTTCATAGGATCTCGTTTTAAGCTGTGGTTGACGAAACACGGGCGCTTGGTTCGGATGGTGAAAGTATTGAAGTTTCACCTTGCAGTAGTGACCAGTATGCTAATCAGTCTGACCGATATGTTATTAATGTTAAATTACGTCAGAAACCAACACGCCGCTGGAATGAGGTATTTCCTCAGAACAAGTCTACTTTTAGATATTTGTTTAACATTTTAAAAAAACACTTATGGAGTTTATATGTGTTTTGGGAAGCAGTGATTCATGTTTCTCAATTGCGTAAATGCTCCATACTGTTTTTGTGTGGAATCATTACTACGTAAGTTATTTTTTTGCAAAAAGACCCCATTGCAGCAAGATATTCAAAAGCGGTTGTCACTTCCTGCGGACTTGAAACTTCCATTAAGCGTTATTGAGAAACTTAATCGCACACCAACGTTGGATCAACCACTAACTAGGAAAAATCGTCGTGCATCATTGGTACGTTTTATGTAGTCATTCGCATTTTTTTTTCACAAGATAGCAATTTTGATTATTTGACTTATGGTGCTTAAATACTTACTCTTAATCGTGCATCTCTTTTTCAGAGCGAAATAGGTTTTGGTAAACTCGAAACATATGAAAAGCTAGAAAAATTAGGAGAAGGGACATATGCTACGGTTTTTAAGGGACGATCGAGATTAACAGAAAAATATGTTGCTCTAAAGGTAGTAATTTTTTTTTGGTCTCATTTATTGTTTGAAATAATGGAACTATAGAGCACAACTTTTTGTAGCAATATGGTGAATATTTCATTTCATGAAAGTTCTGTTTAGGAAATACGTCTGGAACTAGAAGAGGGAGCACCTTGTACAGCCATCAGAGAAGTATCTATACTGAGAGATTTACGTCATGCTAACATTGTTACATTACATGACATCATTCACACCGAAAGAATACTAACTCTCGTCTTTGAGTACGTTGATCGCGATTTGAAACAATACCTTGATGACTGCCAAAATTCTATGTCGATGAAGAATGTTCGAGTATGTTTCTATTTTTTGCAGTTTTTAATCACCAGCACTCAAAAAACGAAAAAACAATCAGTTTGGTCATTTATCATTACACACTGTATTGATCATTTATGATCTCAATTTTGCAGCTATTCTTGGTGCAGTTGTTGAGAGGGCTAAATTACTGTCATCAACGAAGAGTTCTACATCGTGATTTAAAACCTCAAAATTTACTTATAAATGATAAAGGTGAGCTCAAGCTCGCTGATTTTGGCTTAGCAAGAGCAAAGTCTGTGCCTACGAAAACATATTCTAATGAGGTAATTTTTCCCTAATAATTTTCAGATGGGGACTATATATATATTTACATTCAAGACGAGGTACAAAATTTTCATTATGACGCATGACATCAATTCTTTAGGAAACGAGAACTCATTAAATTGACATTAGATCGTGTGAGTAACAAATACGACTTTTGTGAATTTAGTAATTTTCACTTTACTTTGGCGTTTCCACATTTCTTAACGTACTGCAAAATTGTCTTTGAAAGTTAGTTTATTTGTTGCTGAATGTGATTTTTTTAAATTCTCTAATATTTTTTTTTGTAGGTAGTAACATTATGGTATCGTCCACCTGATGTTTTGTTGGGTTCTACAGATTACTCAACTCATATTGATATGTGGGGTGTTGGTTGCATTCTTTTCGAAATGATTTCAGGT